GCTAGGCTTCAGATTTGTAAGCAGGAACCCGTACATTGGAAAGAACAAGGGTCCAGTTATCACACACAGAAATGCATCACTCAAAACACTGTGTCTGAGATCACTTAGAAACTCTTTGCAAAGCTGATGGGGCTTGTGCTCAAGTGTCACAGAGCCAGGAGACTGAAGGGTGTCTGCAGACAGCAGAAAATCGAGCAAATTTGCCATGGGAACATGAGAATATTTGCAACTTTGGTGGATATGAGAGAGTGGAAAAAATCCGTGTGGAGCAGACGCATTCCACCTGGAATGGAATTCAGGCTTCCCACCTTTCACCTCCAACAGGAATTCCCATGACAAGAAATGCCAGTGACCAATTTGGTAGACAAAGTAGGGCGTCCTTCGGCTCAGTAAGCACTGCCTCTGGCTATGCAGGTCACTGCTCGCAGCAGACGAGTCCTTTAAAAGGTGAATCGTGCAGTCACTATTGAAAGTGTCTTTTCAAAGGGTACCCACGTATCTTGAGAGGATGCTGGGGGCAGCAAGGAGACCCCACTGCCCCAGCACAGGACAGCATGAGCCCTGCAAACCCATCGGTTCCCAGCAGGATCTCCCTGTTTACCCATAGGCAGGGATCTGGGACAAGACTCTTGCAGGAAGAGCGGTGGGGGAAGCTCTGCTTCAGAACAGACAAAGCAAAGCAAGCAGGGAGGTTTTCCTGCTCTTGTGCAGCCTGGCTGGGAACCAACCCGAGCACACAGACCCCTGGGTTGGTGACGCTGATTATCATTGAGCACTTATAAATAGAAACCGCGTGTCTCTCTGGGGCCGAGCGGAACCCAGACCAGTGCAGATCAAAGGCTTACCCAGCCAAGGAGCTCCCCTGCTGAAGGGCACCGCCAGCAGCGCAAGGGGGTGCCCCAGGCACCCCAAACACTCATACAACTGCGGTTTGTTTCCTGGTGCTGGGAGGGCTGTGCAGCCACAGCCTGTCAACCCCACAGAACAGAGTGTGGCTAAAGGCAGTTTAACCACCTCCGATGGGAAAGCAGCTCTCCTTTCCTGCAGGCTTATTTCAGTGGTCACTGCGTTAGGGGCCAGGTTTTCCACACCATTTCTAACACGGCTCCAAAGCAGCCATGGAAGAAAGACCCTTGCACCCATGCTGCTGATCACCAAAGACACCAGGCTCCCACTGCGAATCAGAACACTTAGGGTTGGAAAGGACATTAAGATCATCAAGTTCCAACCCCCTGAACAGTTTCCAAGCTGAAATTCAATGTTAAAAACAAGTAACACCAAAATGAACCACCCAAAGGTACATCCAAAAGCTCCTAGAGAAGCTGCATCCTCCGGGCATTTATCAGGAGCACAGATCTGGCTCCCCATCACCGCTCAGGATCCTACATTTGTGATCACCGCGGGAAACATCACACCTCAGGCCAGCCCTAGAGCCCAGACCCAGCTTCCCAACTCCCCTGCGGGTGCTGGTAAAGCCACCAGCTACTGAATGCCAGAGATGCAACTGAATGAATGAATGCCAGGCTGTCCCATTCCGCAGGTGGGAGGGAGGAGGGATGATGTGATAGCTGGTGATGGCTTCCCTGTGGCACTGACCCTCGCTGCCGGAGATGTGGAAGGTGATACAGCTGCAGGGATCTCCTTCCAAATTCCTGACTCGCATTAACCTCTTCCTGCCAACCCCTGTAACCTTGCCAAGCCCATCCACAGGATCCTGGTGTTAGTGCGGCACAAGAGACAGACTTGGTTTACAACTATAACTTACATGGTGCGCTTTTCATTTATAAAGTGCCCAGCTTTTCCTGACAGGCTGAGAGCTGGGCTGGGCCAGCCTGGAGAAGAGAAGGCTCCTGAAGGGGAGACCTGAGAGCAGCTCCAGTGCCTGAAGGGGCTGCAGGAAAGCTGGAGAGGGGCTTGGGACAAGGGATGGAGGGACAGGCCAAGGGGAATGGCTTTAACCTGCCAGAACAGGGGAGATTGAGCTGAGCTCTTAGGCAAAAGCTCTTCCCTGGGAGGGTGCTGAGGCGCTGGCACAGGGTGCCCAGAGAAGCTGTGGCTGCCCCATCCCTGGCAGTGCTCAAGGCCAGGTTGGACACAGGGGCTTGGAGCAAGCTGCTCTAGTGGAAGGTGCCCCTGCCTGTGGCAGGGCTTGGAGCTGGATGGGCTTTAAGGTCCCTTCCAACCCAAACCAGGCTGGGATTCTATGATTAACTCCTCATCTGAGCAGGACACGTTGTCTCCTCTGACATACACAGTGTGAGCTACACGGCAACACGTTTCCCCAGACAAGTTTTGGGGTTCTGTCTTTACTTGCAGAGCTACCCCAGCCCTGCAACACCCTCTCTTTCTACCGAACAAGTGGCCCTGAGAACCAAAACTCCACACCTAGGTTGAGGCTGATTGATAGCAACCGCTGATGCTATCTCTCAGTTATCATTCCAGGACGGGGCAAACAAACCATAATAAGAACTGACTGGAACTTAATAAAGGAAACAGAACTTGCTAAAGCATTTCCCCCACCACATCTGCACTGACATTGTCACGAGCACAAGGGCTGAGTGTGCTAAACCTCTGCATAGGACGTCAGGGTTTAGTTGATGCAAGGGCAGCCTTGGTTCACTCCTAGCAGTGTCTGCTGCACCGCTCTGGACCATCAAGGCAAAGCTGGGATCTCCTGTAAGGTGACCCTTCCTGCCTGGTGCAGAAGGAGCTGGTTTGGAACCTTCAGTGTAGTCCCACCAGGGCTGGAAAATCCACTTTTACACGCCCCACTATCACCATCCAGTCTGACAATAGAGTCTCCTTACAATTACCACTTCAAGGCATTTAAAAGGGGTGGAATGTGGGAGGGACAACTGCCCACCTCCAGTAGGTCTGAGCAGTACCTTGCTGTAACCCAGTGCAAAGCTGTGTAACCATATGAAACCTCTAGAAAGCGTGAAAAATGAGGCACAAGCTCAGTGTGGGGAGAACATGAATAGAGGCTACAACAGCCCTGTATGTACCAGCACTGGTGCTGCCCTAGAGTCATCCTAACCAAGGCAAGAGGGTGAAAACACAGGCGTTGAGGAGGAAAACACAAGATTCAAAGGCAGGTAAGCTTCAGAAGGTGCTTTAACCATTGACTGAGCAATGCCCAATGCCACACAACACCCACCAGAGCCTAGTAGCTAGAGGGCAAGAATCCCCTCGAAGGTTTCCAACTACACGAGTGGCTTTTTAGATACTCTTCAAACAAAGAGCCATTAACCCAAGGAAAGGCAGCACCTGTGTCAGCAGAGCTAATCCTCTCCCTTTACAGCACACAGTGTTTTGGAGGCTTACTTAGCATTCCAGGGAGCTTCTAGTGTGTAATTTAACACATTTCCTGTACCTGCACTCTGAACGCCATCAGTCGCAGCCCTGTTTTTTAAGCCTACCTCCTCTGCAATGTGAGTACAGAGCTCCGGGATGGTTCCTGCAAAGTTCCTCCTTACAACTGCAGGAGAACTCGGTGCATTTTAGCTCTTTTGTTGGAGGGAATTGCAGCACATTGAGGGAGAGCATTGCAATTGATGGTATTTTCCTTTCAAGTGAAGGCAGTGCATTCCACTGCAGGGAAAGCTCACTTTCTGTGCCCTCAACAGGCTCTGCTTTCCTCTTTCAGTGGGATGTAAACAGGCAGATAATGGATTCCTGAGCCAGTGACCCAGAAGATGATAAAATCTGCCTCCTTCACCCTGCTAACTTAACCCCAAAGGCAGAGGCAGGGCCAGGATTTTAGTTCCTGTGCCATAAAGCCAGCACCGCAGCCCACGATCTGCCTGGTGCCCAAGAGAAAGCCTCTATATTCCCTCGTGGGCAAGTTCAGAGCCTGGGTTTTCCATGCCTGGCCTGAGGAACGCCTGCGTTGCCAGTGTTTAGGATGCTGTCATTCTATCTCATTACATCCAGTGTGCAGCCACTACTACGAGCCAGTTTACAAGCCACACAAAGTACTATGAATGAAAGACGCTGGGTTCTCTCCTCCCTCCCTAAGCCAACAAATAGGAACGTTCTTTGCACTACCCAGGCTCTTCCTCCCTCTCCAACAGGAACCACAGGACCATGCTTGTGGCTCAGACCAGAGTAAAATAAGAAACAGGCAGAGAAGGGCTGAACTTCACTGTGCTCTGGGGTTATTTATGGAGTTACACGGATGGAGAGGAGGAGGTTTGGGTTTGGTTAAAGATTCCTTCTTATTTGGAAACTGCAGTGCTCGAGTTCATTCATCCCCGGGACATGCCTTGCACTGAGCAACAGCAGAGCCTGGTTTATGCTGTCTGAGGCAGAGAGATGCTGGGCACAGTGAAAAACTGGGGCTCCTGCACAGGTCAGAGGCCTCACCTTTAGGGAACACACCACCATTCCCCAAAGAAACACCTGGTTTTCCACACAGATAGAGGATTTCATAGGAAGACACTAAAGGACATTCCTCTGTCTAAAAACAGTTAAAACATGAAGAAAGTTGGGAATGTTGAAGCACCTAAATGCTTTCTCATAGGTCTACAACATGAGCAAACAAATCTGTTTGGCAATTATGCAACCCCTCTCCATTTGGAGAAGTTAAGCATTTACAGGGGGTGCACAGCGAGTCAGCGAGGGCTCTCACACTGCAAACTGCACCCAAACAAAGCCGGAGCTTGTGATTCATTCCCGAAGTTCCAACTGTATTTTATGGCAGGATAAAATCAACAGCAAGACCGCTTCCTCACTCTCCCCCTTATTGTTCTAAACCACCTGGTCTGCGTTAGCCCTCCTCTGCAGTGCTCAGTGGGACATACACCTTTACGCTGTGTAACTGAGGACACCTTCAGAGAGATAAAAGCCACACACTATCTCTTCAAAGAACACAAAGCTTTCTCTACAGCACCACTTCAACACCTTGATGCAACGAGAACAAGCCCAGACGAAGGTGTTTACAGGGATCATCTCATAGCAACACCTACAACCCCCCCCCCCCCCCCCCAGCCCAGGCTTACCTTGCAACTGCTTGAATCTTCCTTCTAACTGGTTATAGTTATAGGGCACCTGAGCTGCGTACCCCGGGGACAACGGCCCGGGCATGCTGCTCGACTTCTGTAATTCCATCTACAGGTAACCCAGGGGGAGCAGGAGCTGCAGCATAAAGGAACCACGAGTTTCTCTACCATACATCCAAGTAAATCCCAGCTTCCTCGGCTCCAGTCCCTAGGGAAAACGAGCCTTCAAGCAGATAAAAGCTCCGGTTCAAACTCCAGCAGCGTGTGTTGGCCACAACGGAGGCCAGCTCAAAGCACCATGAGGGGGTTACGGCGGGCTTCTGGCTCACCCCGGCTCCGCTGCAGGCAGCTCTGAAGCGCTGGAACGCGGTCCCGGTGGAAGGGGATGCGGTGCAAGCCAGCCCGAAGCGGCGTGGAGGCTCCCGGAGCCGCAGCGCGCACCTCAGCCCTTCCTGACCCGCTGTAATATAACCGGCAGCGCCGGGGCGCGGGCTGATGTCACCGATTAGCATAGAGCGCGCCGGAGGAAGCGAAGGCTGTACCAAGGGCGAAGGGGCGGCGGAGCGGGGCAGGAGATGGCTCATAGGGGCTGCAGTGAGCCCGTCCTCACTGAGCCCCTGCGCTGCGAGCAGCCGGAGCCTGGGGGTAAGGCGGCCGCGGGGTCCCCAGCCCCGCTCGCCCTGTGCGGCCGCAGCAGCCGGTGGTACCGTCCCCAGCAGAGCTGGTGGAATTACAAGCTTTTGTTGGGAGCCTCATGTAACGGAAAGGGCTCAGATTACTATCGCAGAAAAGGAGGGCGCTTCGCTTTATTTGCCCCGAGGAGCGTCCGCTTGACAGAGCAGCACCCGCACGCAGGAACAGGCGAGGAGGGGATGCAGCAAGATGCACGCCGGGAACAAGAGAAGGCTCTGGGGAAAGGGCCTTTAAGCAGCCAAGTGCTGTCACTGCGGGTTATGTCACCGGTGCATCCCGACATCTCCTGTGGACGGGGCTCCTTGCCCGTGTACCAGCACGCTGGGTACGGCTGCCAGACGAACGCTGTCTGGGCTGTGCGCTGTAACGGGAAGCAGGGTGCCCTGCCTCTGACTGGGGGATAATGTGTGCAGCAGCAGCAGCAGGGCTGGGTACCAGCAGTCACATCCTGGCATTAGGCAGAGGATGGCAGTTTTCCCTTGGGCTGTGAGCTCCAGCCTTCACTTACACATAAGGGAAGGAAAAGGTCAGCTCCACATTCATATTCCCAGTATGCAGCATTTGCATGTTCCTGTTAAAACTGCTGATAGCGTTCGCACAGAAGTTTTCTCTTTGTGTTTTTCCTTGCGTTTCCAAATTCCTTTCCAATGGAATCCATGTCCTCCTCCCACTCCATCCCCTCATTAAACATCTCAAAATGTGCCTTTGTTTTGATATTGTTGGTTCACAAGTTTTTAGTCTTATACTAATGCCTATGAGGACAGCTGCAGTGGGAGCAGCTCAGTCCACTCCCACCAACTCACTGCAGCCCCAGTTCCTGTGGGGCACAAGGTGGACATTCCAACTAGCCCTTCCCAACATGCTGGGGAGCAAATGTGCCAGTCCAACACTGCTGATTTAGGGAGAAGTGATGGGAGTCAATGCCTCTCAGCTGAAGCTGGGGTTTCTAAAAGCACGTGAACTGCTAAAAACGTCTGGCACGTTCCTCCAATGGCCATAAATACACTTAAAATATTTATGGCTTTTACCTATGCTATTTTACTTGAAACAACACCACAGCTTGAGCCCAGAGGGGATTATCCCTATGAACTGCGCTCTGGGGAGACCCCCCCTGCAACCCTGATCCAGTTCTGGGGCAACAGCACAAGAGGGACGTGGAGCTGTTGAAGCAAGGCCAGAGGAGGCCACGGAGATGCTGCGAGGGCTGGAGCAGCTCTGCTCTGGAGCCAGGCTGAGAGAGCTGGGCTGGGGCAGCCTGGAGAAGAGAAGGCTCCTGAAGGGGAGACCTGAGAGCAGCTCCAGTGCCTCAAGGGGCTGCAGGAAAGCTGGAGAGGGGCTTGGGACAAGGGATGTAGGGACAGGCCAAGGGGAATGGCTTGAACCTGCCCGAGGGGAGACTGAGATGAGCTCTTAGGCAGAAGCTCTTCCCTGTGAGGGTGCTGAGGCGCTGGCACAGGGTGCCCAGAGAAGCTGTGGCTGCCCCATCCCTGGCAGTGCTCAAGGGCAGGTTGGACACAGGGGCTTGGAGCAAGCTGCTCTAGTGGAAGGGGTCCCTGCCCGTGGCAGGGGTTGGAGCTGGAGGAGCTTTAAGGTCCCTTCCAACCCAAACCGTTCTATGATTCCATAATTCTACGAGTGATTTCCTGCAGACCCAAACCACCGCAGTGTTGGGATCAAGGTGCTGCAGCCTGTGCCCCAAAAGCCTGTTTCCAGGTGGAAAGGGGGTTGGAGGAAGCACCTGCCCTTGTCCCAGCCGCAGGCAGGATGTGAGCTCCCCTGAGCTCCGCACACATCACAGCCCGATTTCCTTCACGGATTTGCTTTCCAGCAGCTTTTCCTGGTGAAGCCTGTGCTGTGTTTTACCTCCAGGAACCCTTCCCCTGGCCAGCAGGGAGGAGGCCAGGCCCTACCTGCAGCGGTATCGGCTCGCTGCCGTTCCACCCTGAGCAAACAGGGCTCGCTACGCCAGCTAAAGTCCAAGTGACTGACACAGGAACTGGAGCGCTTCCAGCACCATGGAGGCCCTCGACCAGGAGCTTCTCCCCAGCTGACAGCTTTCCCAGCACCGCTGGCAGGCGACACAGGACCGCACGCGGCCGTTAGTAATAATGTAAATTATTAAAGGGGGAAATGTTACAAAAGCAAAACATGAAAACACTACAAATATTCATTTGGCTTCGACCCATAGAAAACACAGGACTGTCTTTCCCCGCCCTGCCGTAAAACTCATTGAATCAGAATCATAGAACAGTTCGGGTTGGAAAGGACCTTAAGATCATCCAGTTCCAACCTCCCTGCCATGGGCAGGGACACCTCACACTAAACCATCTCACCCAAGGCTCTGTCCAACCTCTCCTTGAACACCGCCAGGGATGGAGCATTCACAACCTCCCTGGGCAACCCATTCCAGTGCCTCAGCACCCTCACAGGAAAGAATTTCCTCCTTAGATCCAATCTAAACTTCCCCTGTTTAAGTTTGAACCCGTTACCCCTTGTCCTATCACTACAGTCCCTAATGAAGAGTCCCTCCACAGCATCCCTATAGCCCCCTTCAGATACTGGAAGCTGCTCTGAGGTCTCCACGCAGCTTCTCTTCTCCAGGCTGAACAGCCCCAACTTTCTCAGCCTATCTTCATACAGGAGGTGCTCCAGTCCTGATCATCCTCATGGCCTCCTCTGGCCCTCAACACCATATAATATGAATTTACACTTCAGATTAAGATTCCAAAGAGATACCAAACAGAAGTTGAGGGTTGAGGTTTTTTGTCCATGTCCTCCCTTTATCCCCCCAATAGCACTAAATACTACCTTAAAAAGAGAAGGAATTGCAGCAAGTATGGAGCCGAAGGCTACACAGTGAATAGGGGGAAAGCTTCAAGAGTCTGGGTTTGGACCGAGCTTATTTTAGTGCAAGATTTGAAGAACAGAGACCCTAACAAACACATGGTAGGGAACTCAGCAGCACTCCCTGAGCCATCCTGACCTCATTTTCACTGCTGTCCAGGCTGGCACTGGGGCTGAACAAGAGGTCTCCAGTAGCAGATGTGACAGACGTGGCTGAGCTGCTGTCTGCTTGGTGTGATGGGTGGTCCTGCTGGCTCACCTCCCGCAGCATCACTGCTGCTCTGTGGGGCCTCGGGCATGTGCACTGATGGTTCCACTGCATGGGGAGCTGGTAATTCAGGAGAAAGAGCACAGCAGAGTGGGGATCTGTCTTTGTGAATGGCTACACCTTAGGGAGTGAGGATTCCTAAGACCAGGAGCCTGCCAGCAGCCACAGCAATCGCAATACCTTTGTTTGCTGTTGCCTTTAAATTAGCAAACCCAAGACCTGTTTATTGCCACCATGCATCAAAGCTCTGGGTTCACCATAAGGCTCTTGCAGGCACAAAGCCCTTTTCTATACCTGGTTTCTACTCATTTTCCTCTGGTTCTCTTTAATTGACTAAGTCCTTGACAATATTAATTAGTATGTTATGGAGAGGAACTAATGCTTTAAAGCCAGAGATAAATCACAGCATCCCAGCCTGGTTTGGGTGTGAAGGGACCTTAAAGCTCCTCCAGCTCCAGCCCCTGCCACAGGCAGGGACCCCTTCCACTAGAGCAGCTTGCTCCAAGCTCCTGTGTCCAACCTGGCCTTGAACACTGCCAGGGATGGGGCAGCCACAGTTTCTCTGGGCACCCTGTGCCAGCGCCTCAGCACCCTCACAATGAGATAACTTTTAAGCTCTGGTCCAAGTGTAATTTCTCAAATCAACCCAGCTTGAAACTGTCCATGATGTAATTCATCACTGATCTCAGCACTGGAGGAAAGTAAGGGCTTGCAGGGACGGTGCCTGCAGCCCTGCCCTGGGCAGCCTGTTCCAATGCCTGAGCACCCTCTGGGGAAGGAATTGTTCCTCAGCTCCATCTAAACCTGCCCTGGTGCAGCTTGAGGCCGTTTCCTCTTGTCCTAAAACAGTCTCCCATGGCTTGAGTGGTGCTGATGGCATTATTTGTGTACTTGATAAGAGTAAATAAACCCACAAATGATTATCCACTTATCCATAATGCAATGTGTGACTTGGTTGATGCGATCAGAGCTCTGCAAAGCCTCAAGGAGAACAAGAGGTTGACTCCGGTAATGTTATGCATGTACAAGCAGCATCTGGAGGCAGGTGCTCAGTCCAGAGTGGAAAGGGATCTTGGCTGGGATCTGTCTTTCTGTGGCTGCTGAAGTGAATGGGTTCCTACCACAAAGGAAAAAAATGGTGTTTCTAAGGAAGAAACTAGCACCATTCCCATCCAAATTCCTGATTATCGGTTTCTAAGGTGGAACTAAGCTATCGCTTTCCTCATCCAAAAGATCTCACTTAAGAAAATCTCCAGCACAACCTTCGAAGGAGTATGAACAAAAAATCCCTCTAAGAAACTCCTGACCAAGGATCCAGTTCAAAGCTCTTCTGCAGAAAGTAGCTGGTCAGTGAGCAGTGCTAATGCCCTTGCTCCTATATTATCCTTCACCACTGAAGTCAACCAATATTGGCTTTATTGAGTCAACAATGAAGATAGTTCATCCTGGGGGACCCAATGTCCAACACAGGCCCACCCACCCCACATTCAACTTCATGCACACGTGAAAAGCCAAGA